ACATCTTCATTCTTTTATCTAAAAAAAATCCTCAACAAAATATTAGCAAACTAAATTCAACAATACATTAATAACATCATATACAATGATCAAATGGGATTCATTCTAAGCATGCAAGGGTGGTACAATTAAAGTGATATGCCAGACATCCAATGAAAAATAAATGTCATGATCATATCAATAGATAAGTAAAAACATTTGGCAAAATTCAATACCCATTTATGATAAAAACTCTCATCAAAATGGGGAGGGAGGGAGTAGATCTCAGCAAAATAAAGGTGACATATGAGAACCCATAGGGAATGTCACACTTAAAGGGGAAAACCAGACATCTTTTTCTTTCAGATCAGGAAGAAGACAGGAACACCCAGGTTCCTCACTTTTAGTCAATATAGTATATGAAGTCCTAGCATGGCAATCAGACAGGAAAAAGAAATAAAAGACTTCTAAGTAAAAAAGAAGTAAAACTGTTGCTATTTTCAGATAACAGGATGTTATATAGAGAGATCCCTAAAGGTTCCATTAAAAAATTATTAGAACTGCATTGGCCGGGTGGCCTCAGTTACTTGAAACATCATCCTGTACACCAAAAGGTAGCAGGTTTGATTCCCAGTCAGGGTAAATACCGAGGTTGCGGGTTTGATCCCCAGTTAGGGCGAGTATGGGAGGTAACTGATGTTTCTCTCTCACAATGGTGTTCTTTCTCTCCCCTGCCCTCACTCTCCCTCTCTAAATCAAGAAACATATCTTCAGATAAAGATAGAAAAACAACAACTATTAGAATTAATAAATGAATTCAGTACAGTTGCAGGATGCAAAATCAGTATTCAGAAAGCTGTGCATTCTTATACACTAATAATGAAATATCAGAAAATTAAGAATCCCATCTAAATTGCATAAAAATAATTACCTAAGAATAAATTTAAACAAGGGGGTAAACGCTATGTACTTTGAAAACTTTAAGGCATTGATAAAAGAAACTGAAGACTCATAGAAAAGAATATACTATGCTCATGAACGAGAATACTTCATATTGTTTAAATGTGCATATCACACAAAGCAATCTATAAAGTCAAAGCAATTCCTATCAAAATAGTCCAGAAATAAACCCATGCTTTTATGGCCAATTATTATTTAACAAAGGAGGCTGGGATAGAGATAATCTAGTCAATAAATGGTGCTGAAAAAAATTAGATATGTGCAAAAAATTGGAAACTAGACTACCTTCTTACACTATACACAAGAATAAAATTAATAAAGAATTAGACTTAAATGCGAGACTTGAAATCATAAAAATACCAGAAAAAACACAAGCAGCAAAATCTCAGATATTTCTCATAGAAATATTTTTCTTCTATCACCTCAGGCAAGAGAAACAAAAGAAAAAAAATAAACAAATGGGACTACATTAAACAAAAAAGTTTTTGCACAGCAAAGGAAACCATTAACAAAATGAATAGACAACCCACTGAATGGGAGGACATATTCGCCAATGATACACCTGATAAGGAGTTAATATCCAAAATTTACAAAAACTTATACAACTAAACACCAGAAAAAAAACACAATGCAATTAAAAAATGGGCAAAGGATCTGAACAGACACTTCTCCAAAGAGGACATACAGATGGTCAAGAGACACATGAAAAGATACTAAATGTCATTTATTAGAGAAATGAAAACTAAAACTACAATGAGAATGGCTACCATCAATAAATCAACACACAAGTGTTGGCCAGGATGTGGAGAAAAGGAAACCCTAGTGCACTGTTGATGGAAAGGCAGATTGGTGCAGCTACTGTGGAAAGCAGTATGGAGTTACCTCAAAAAAGTTAAAAACTACCTTATAACCCAGCTATTCCACTTCTGGAAATGTATCTGAAGAAACCTGAAACACTAATTCAAAATAATATATGCACCCCTATGTTCATTGCAGTGTTATTTACAACTAGAAGCCTGGTGCACAAAAATTCATGCACTTGGGGGGGCGGGGTGTCCCTCAGCCCAGCCAGTGACCTCCGGCAGCCCAGGACCCTAAGGGGATGTCTAATGGCTTAGGCCCTAAGCCATTAGTCGGACATCCTTAGTGCTGCCACGGAGGCAGGAGAGGCTCCCGCCACCCCTGCTGTGCTGGCCAGCCATGAGCCGGCTTCTGGCTGAGCAGCACTCCCCCTGTGGAAGCACACTGACCACCAGGGGGATAGCTCCTGTGTTAAGCGTCTGCCCCCTGGTGGTCAGTGCTCAACATAGCCATCAGTCATTCCTGGTCATTCCGTGTTTAGGGTCAATTTGTATATTATCCTTTTATTATATAGGACAGCCAAGATTTAGAAGCAGCCCAAGTGCCCATCAGTAGATGAGTGGATAAAAATGTTGTGAAATATTTACACAATGGATACTACTTGACCATAAAAAAGAAGGAAATTTTACCCTTTGTGAATGAGTGGGTGGACCTGGAGAGCATTATGCTGACAGAAATAAGCCAGTCAGAGAAAGACAAGTACCATACGATCTCACTCATATGTGGAATCTAATGAACAAAATAAACTGATGAACAAAATAGAAACACTCATTTTGAGAGGGGTTACTGGACCGGGTGAAAAATGGGAAGGGATTAATAAAAATAACAACACAAAAAACAACTCAGGGACACACACAACAATATGGTAATTACCAGAGAGAAGGGGGATCAGGGAAGGTAGAAGAGGGTATAGTGGGAATAAATGGTGACACAAAGAGACTTGACTTGGGGTGTTGAATACACAACACAATATACAGATGATGTATTATGGAACTGTACACCTAAAACCTGTGTAATTTTATTAACCAATGTCACCCTAATCAATTTATTAAAACATAATGGGCAGAAGACCTGAATAGACACTTCTCCAAAGAGGACATATGGACATAGTAATATTGCAAATTAAATGCAATCATTAGGGAAATGCAAATTAAAAACACAATGAGCTATCACCTCACAAGTGCCAGAATGGCTACCATCAATAAATTAACAAACAGTTGTTGGTGAAAAATTAAAAACAGAACTATCTCGCCCTACCCAGTATGGCTCAGTGGATAGAGCATTGGCCCACGGATTGAAGGGTCTCAGGTTCAATCCCAAAGGCAGGTACCTCAGTTGCAGACTCGATTCCTGGCCCCGGTAGGGGGTGTGTGGAGGAGGGAGATGTGCATGGGGGAGGCAACTAATTGATGTGTCTCTCTTACCCTGATGTTTCTCTCTCTCCATCTCTCCCCCTCTCTTCCACTCTCTCTAAAACAAATCAATGGAAAAATATCCTTGGGGGAGGATTAACAAAAATAAATAAATAAAAAATAAACAGTAACTACCTTTTGACCCAACATTTCCACCTCTGGGTATAGGAAGAAATCCAAAACATTAATTTGAAAAGATATATGCACCCCTATATTCAATGCAGCATTATTTACAATAGCCAATATATGAAAGCCATGCAAATGCCCATCAACAGATGAGTGAAAAAAAAAAAAAAAGCTGGGTACAGTGTGGCCGGTGTGGCTCCATGGTTGAGTGCTGACCCATGAACCAGGAAGTCATAGTTCAATTCCAGGCTAGGGCACATGCCTGGGTTGCAGGCTCAATCCCCAGTGGGGGTTATGCAGGAGGCAGCCAATAGATGATTATCTCTCATATTATTGATGTTTCTTTCTCCCACTCCCTCTCTAAAATCAATAAAAACATAAAAAAAGCCTATATAATAAAAGTGTAGTATGCAAATTGACTGCAACAGTGGACAGACTGGTTGGCGGGTGCGGGGAGCAGGCGAGCAGGCGGCATCAGGCCAGCAGGCAGAGGGAGGGGATGGCGATGGGGCGTGGGCCTAAGCCATCAGTCGGACATCCAGAGACCTCCTGGACTGCAAAAGGGCGCAGGCAGGGCTGAGGGACCACCCCCCACCTCCACCCCCACCTCCCAATTGCACGAATTTTCGTGCGCTAGGCCTCGAGTAAATAAATAAAAAGTTGGTCAGTGTGGCTCAGTTGGCTGAGTGTAGTTCCATGTACCAAAAGGTCATGCACTGAAAGGTTGCTGGTTAAATTCCTGGTCAGGGCACATACCCAGGTTGAAGGTTTAATCCCCGGTTGAGGTGCATATGGAAGGTAACCAATCAATGTTTCTCTCACATTGATGTTCTCTCTCTCTCTCTCTCTCCCCCTCTCCCTTCCTCTCTAAAGTCAATAAAAATATATTTAATAATAAAAAAAAGCTGGGTGCACCAGCCCACATGATGCACCTCCTGGCTTCAGTTTGGGAGCATTGAGAGAAGTAGTTCTGGTGTGGGCCAGCATCCATTCCTGTCTAGCCCCAATCTCCTGATAAGTCAGTGGGAGCTAGACTTTCTGGAATTGGGGTATTTCACAACCCTGGCAGTACAGCAAAGTAACCACATAGACTTGGCCTTAGCCAGCGGTTCTCAACCTGTGGGTCACGACCCCTGAAAATACATCCTGCATATCAGATATTTACATTATGATTCATAACAGTAGCAACATTACAGTTATGAAGTAGCAACGAAAACAATTTTATGGTTGGGGGTCACTACAACATGAGGAGCTGTATTAAAGGATTGCAGCATTAGGAAGGTTGAGAACCACCCATTACTAACGAGGTGACTTAGGGCAGTCACTAACCTCACTGACCCTCATATAGGCGAAGACCAAAGGATGCTTCTCAAGGATGCTAGCCCTTTTCCCAGCCCTGGTTTTAGGTTCTCCCCATGCAGTGAGCACAGGGAGGAGAGCCTCACCCTGAGGCTCTGAATCACCAGCTGGCCCGCAGCCAGGCTGGCAGTGAGGGACTCCCACCACGACATGGAGAAGGCAGAGTTCCGCGCATGGAAGGTGGGCAATGGAAGCTGGCCTGGCAGCCTTTGGAATCGTGGGTGCTTCCAAGACCAGGACCTTGTGGCCTGATAGGAGGGGTGTGGCAAGACACATGGGAGAGGGATGAGGATGGGGCCATACCTGGTCTATGTGTGCCTCGTCCATGTTGCCTTTCTTCTCCAGCACCACCTCTAAGTCTGTGTCAGGCTCCTGCACAGGAGAGCAAAGGGAGTAAGAGTCAAGCATCTGCTGGCCTCTGCCCCAGTAGCCCTGCAGGGTGAGATGATGACAGATTCCAGAAAAGACCCAAGATCCCAGCACCACCCCAAACCCCATCACCTACAGAATATCTGACACCTTTCTCTTCCATGATTCTCCCCTCAAAACCATGGCACTGACCTATTTGACAGATGAAGAAACTAAGGTTCAGAGAGGTAGAGTGACTATCATGAGGTCACCCCCACAGATCAGGGGCAGGGCTGACACTAACCTAGGTCTCTCAACTCAGGCTAGGTGCATGACCTTTCCTGCCACAAGTCACCTGACCTCCCAGGGTGACACCAAACCAGTGAGAGGCCAAGGGTCCCATCTATGGTGTGTGTGTGTGTGTGTGTGTGTGGAGAGGGGGCACATAGCAAGGGTCAGGAAATGCAGAGGTGGGCTCAGGGTCCTGATGGGTGTGGGGAGTGGGGCTGCCAGCAAACACAAGCCTACTAAATTCTCCTGTATACCGCCCACCCCGACTCACAGGTCCTGGCTGCTGCCTTCTCACCTGCCTAGAAAACCATGAGTGTCTAACTCCTGCTTCCCCACCCCAACCTTGGTCCATCCCATAAGCAACTCAGGTGAGCTTTAAAAATTTAATCAGAATACGCTGTATACCTTAAACATACACAACTTTATGTCAACTCTATCTTCTTTACAAAAACCTCAGTCAGAATATGTTACCACGCCCTAAGACTCCTAGGGCTCCCATCTTACCTGCACAAAATTCAGACTTCTGCGGCCTCCATGGTTGTCACGGAGCCCCCGCCACCCCAGCCTCTGTGCTCTGCCAAGGCCTCTGTACTTGCTACTTCAGCTGCACGAAAGGCCAAAGCCCTCACAGGTCTCAGCTCCCAGGGGACATCCTCGCTGGCTGCCTCTCTGACATGGCTGTGCTCACTGGCCTCAGCCTCTAAGGGACTCTGAGGGTGAGACCTCAGGCTGGCCCCTTTCCCCCTGGTCCTTTGTAATGACAACAGCCCTTCCCAATTGCATCTGATAGAGCTGAGCACAGGTCCTACAGACACCTTCCTGC